AGAAAGGAAAAATTGAAATTGCATCATATGACCCCTTTAAATTATGTGTTTTCCACTTTATTTATTTTGTGTTTTATTATTTAATACAAATTTATCATGAAAAATTCTGTCTAATGAAATTGGTAATAATATAATAAAATATAACAATTAATTTACAACAAAAACATTGCATTTTTATTTTTGTCAAATATAAAATGATGCACGACAAAACGGTATGCTTGATATTAAAACATGGATGAAAAATATTTGGGTTGAATGATATTCCTTACAAATAATAGTAATAGTATTAGCCTATTATTTTGAAAAGTACATTTTACTATATCATAGTAATATATTTCACATTTGTCGTGAAAGAAGATACGATGAAAAGCTCTCTCGGAGAGGCTATGGAGATGAAGTTCATAAAGTGCGAGGCAAACGCTGAAATCACTGTGAGCTTCACGTGTGTTTGAGTTTGTAAACAAAACTATGCTTTTTAAACAGAGACACGCAGAACATGCAGACTTATAAGCAACATGCTTTGACTGGCTGTTTATTTCTGCTGTGCTCTGGGTGAAACTCACGTAAGTTAATAGGTTGTGATGTGACATCATCTCCATTCTTAAGTTGCCAAGTATAATACACATTAGTAAAAGGATCTATTTTCATTTTTATTTGTCCATAGATACACTTTAGGTGGCCGCAGTACATTATAAAAGTAGCCCAAAAAAACCTCAACCCGCGGCTCTGTAATTTTTTCCGCGACTGCGACCCTGGCAACACTGCACACTGAGCTCTCTCTTCTCCCTATCATTACTAGACACGCCCCTTACTGCTGATTGGTTGCGAGTGTGTTTTGGGACTCGTTCTGACACAGTGGTCAAAAGCGTTTTTCAAATATTGCTTAGTGCACCTTTACGTCTTAAAGGGATAGTTACCCCAAAATGAATGTTGCCATCATATACTCACCCTTGTTATTCCAAATCAATATGACATTCTTTCTTCCACAAAACACAAAAGATGATGTTAAGTAGAATGTTTAAGCTAATCTTTTGCACATGGAAAAAAATGGTATACGATTTACTTTAAAACAAATTTTACTCAGAAATTGCTAGTAAATTTAACAAAAAATGTCCTTAAAATTTGAAGTAGAAAGACTGATATAGTATTTTCTTGTAAAATGTACTACATTGACATATACAATAATTGGTTCATTCATATAGAATATAGCACATAAGTCTTCTGCAGTGGTTTTCAGTCCTGGTCCTGGGGATCCACTGCTCTGCAAATTTTATATGTCTCCCTTATTTTACACACCTGATTTAGATCACCAGCTCATTAGGTGAGAGTTCCATGAACTGAACTGAGTGTATCAGATAAGAGAGAGATACAAAATGTGCAGAGCAGTGGGTCCCCAGGACCAGGAATGCTTTGTGTGCTACCACTGCTTTGTGTGTCATACTTTTTGTATGTAGGCTGTAGTCCCTTCACTACAGCTCTCAAATCTCATTTGCAAATATACATATTCTGAAATGACAAACCATCATATGACACGCAATAACCTTCTCTTAATCCTTAGGCACTATATTCAAATATAGAGAGCTAAGCTGTAGAAGATTTTCAGTGAATAATAATATAAATATCTGTGAATTGCTCACAAAGCTATTGTATGATCTATTTCGATTCTGTTAAATGTGTCTTAGAACAACATGAGGGTGAGTTTTTTCTTTTTTAGTTCATCTTTTTAAGTGAACTAATACCCCTTTAATGTCACTGTACTATTATTAGGGATGCACCAATATTAAAATGATTCTTATTTTCATGTATTGGCAAATAATCCATAAATAGCTGATATTAAAATTCTATACTATTTTGTCTAAATTAATAGAAATTAAGACACTAAAAATTAAAATCAGTCATATAAAGATTACATTTACCATGTTAAATTATCAGATCATTAAATTATGTTTTTAAATATTAACTTTAAGTGAGCATTAGATGATGTTTAAGGTAATCTAAATGTAAAAATTTGGGAAATTAACCACACAATTAAATACTCCATATTGGCCAATATGTATCAGGCTACATAATCTGAAGCTGAAAATGAAAGCAACCGTCAAAGGGGGCTGTACTCACAATGATGCTCTTGCATTCGCGTCCTCTGCACAGCTCAGTGTAAGTTGAGTACTGCACATACACAACCCAACTGCCCACAAACACAGCAAGCCATGTGAGAAAGAGATATTTTACTCGAATATAGGACAGGCGAGCCTGAGGGAAAGGAAGTAGAAAGTAAACATAAGCCCAGGTCTGTGAACTTTAACACAGTCTTAAAGTAAACACAAATCCTGATTGAACCCAATGTCAAGTGTTTACTTATAGTTTATTACTCTGTCAAAATTTCATAACAGAAAAAGAGGCTGAAAAAAACATTAATGTCAATACATATCATACAGCAAGTTAACAACAACAACAAAACTCCTGCTACAACATACCCAAAGAAATACAACCATCAACAGTGAACAAACCACTTATTTGCTAACTACCAGCCAATGTCATGAAATGAGTACAGCCACAATCTGATCACACTTAACTAAAGCAAGGTTTAGTTATAATCATCCACTACATTAACTCATTTTAATGAAGTCCCTATGACAGACGGCCTAGAGGCTGTTTCTGTCAGTTCACTTGCACAAGGCTTTTGAACTAAAAATATACCTGCATGAAGCTTTATGCCCCAGAAATGAAAAGCATGTGGTTACA